AACATATTTCATTTTAGTAATGTTATTCCAAGATACACACCGCGTTACAATACAAAAAAAACAGTGCCCGACTACAGTTTAACATTATGAGGGAGAGGGCAGCATCTACTCAGGAATATGTTGAAGAAGAAGAAGAAGAAGAAGAAAGAAGAAGAGGAAAAATTGAGCATAACGATTGTTTCGGAGATTTAATATTAACATAAAGTGCACTTACGGCTAAATATTTTCAGCATGATAATACTAATAATACCAGTATTCGACATATTCAAGATCTTTAGTTTATCATTGTTTGTGAATATAAACCTAAATTGAATGGTAGACATTTAATGCAAATATATGTAGTCAATAATTACATGTTACAGTAGATAATATTGTCGCGATCGTATTTCTTTTAAATGAATCTAAATGTTTTTAAAATGTTTTAGATTTCGTTTGTCATTTTTCGATATAGATTTATCTATTATAAAGGTATTGTATATAGAAATAACATTCTTTGAAAGAAAAGTAAAATAATAGATTCAGCAAATGTTGATTTTGATATATTTATATCTAAATCGTTGTACTACATTACCGTACTTCCTGTGTAGAACGCTTATTATGTGCCTTCATTATAAATGGCCAGAAGTTCGAATGCAGTTGCAGAAGGTTTAATATCTGTAATAAAGCAATAATTAAGCAACTTAATCAGTTTTTCATGTTTGTTCTTATTAACAGAACATGCCATGATTAATGGTAATGATCTACTGAACTAGTCACTTAATGTTCGTCATGTACTAAGTTTAAAGTTACCTTTATTTATTAAAGTACTTATCTGAATTGGATATGAATGAAAGCGTCGTTGTGACCAGCTCAATGCGATGTTAATCCTTACATGTTATAAAGTAAATATGCTATATATGACTTATACTTTATTTAAGTTGCGAGTTAGGAAGCAAATACTGTTGAATTTGTCAGATACTCTTTTTCTACATGTATCTTGCTCTCAAATGTCAAAGTCATTGGATATAAACTTTTGAAGACAAATAAAATAAATGACTCATTGTCATGCATATCACCATTCTGTATTTTGTATGAGATGATTAAAGCTGTAAGATTGTACTTGTTGAAACATAGATTATATGCAGATTGTGGTTATTCATTTGGCCACCAGTTACTCCCCTTTTATATAGTAAACTGTTTCCGTATTGTAAAGAATAAAAGCTTACGGTCAAAATCAGAAATGATCGTTTGTCTGATTTCAAACTAGTTGATAAATTAGCTCTCTTCATCTCAACTTAAGGGCTATAAATATTCGAATATCTGTACTTTGCATTGGCTATTTAACTTCATAAAACTGTCAAATATCTTTTGAACTCAATTCCTAGTAAGGGTTCTACAACTAATCTTTATGTGATTTAACTAGTTTCCTTATTACATGTACTAAATATACATTATTTGTTATTTACTTTTGTAATAATAAAAGTAAACGAACATTCTAGGATGAATCACTTTTGCAGTGTAAAATAAAACTGATCACTCGAGAATGATCTTTGGAAATCGTCTTTATCGACACTAATACATATAATAGTGTTATTGATAAATTAAAGCTTCTTAATTTATATCATATCGATACTTATGTTTTGGCATTGCACAATGCTTTGCTTTTTTCACACTGTTTATGACGTCTTAAATCTTTTTGATGTGTAAATGACTTATATGAAGCCTGGAAAAACATGACTTAATTATTATTTTTGACTTCTTTTGTTTAACTGTTGGTACTCTTAGATTGCTTGTTTGTATCTTTTTTTTTTAATTAGCTGTTTCTGTGCTTTGAAATAATTATATGAAATAGCCTTCTTCAACTGTTTTTACAGTTAGCAGTTATATTGTGTTAGTACACTACTCTTCCAGCTGAGAAAGAGATTTAAATGTTAGCAAAATTGTTCAACCCGGCTACATTCTGCATGTGCCTGTACGTCAATAGATGTCGATGGTTACTGTCTGTCAAATTTTATTTTACATTAATTTTTTATCATAAAAAAGCCAATTAAGTTTACTTGTTTGAATTGATTTTCATTTGTTCACGTTTGTTTGTTTGTTTTACCTATAGCCTACTGTATGGTAGCGGTTTTTCTCGTTGGTGTCGGGTGGATAAGAACTTTTTCAACAATTTTATCACATCTTATTTTTAATCAACCTTGATAATAAGTGGATTCCACCTTTTTTTCTACCGGCTTTTTTCTAAGAACATCTGTTAGCAATAAACTGGCAAAAAATCTCTACAAAATAGAACAGGCGAAAATGAATATTTCAATGGAATTTTTAAACGCAGAGTGAGTTGTAAGTACAAGTATCGGATGTTGGAAAACACGCATGCATGTGTCGGAATTACATTTTTGTGCACGTTTATGAAAAGGTAATGGCCACATCAATCAACACTTTTGTGAAGCATGTCAAGGACAATGTTTTGAAGGCGTTTTTGTAGACTATATATAAAAATAAGGAGATGTGGATGATGATTGGTAATGAGACAATTATCCACTAGTGTTCAAATGAAGTGGATGTAAGCAATTATAGGCAAGCGTACGATCTCAACAATGAGAAAAACCCATACCGTATAGTCGGCTATAAAAGGCCCCGACATGAAATATATGAAACAATTCAATTGAGAAAACCAAAGGCCTCATTCATAACCAAATAGTTTACGAAAAACAAATATGACAGACATGAACCAACGAAAACCACTGAACAACAGGCTCCTGACTTGGGACAGGCACATGTACATAATATTAACATTGAATGAAAGTTTTCGTTTGGACCATTATTAATGGCTTTCATGATCAATAAACATATTGTCAGCATTTTCTAATGAAAAATGTCCGATGCTTCCGTTTCTGATATAACCTGAAAGACAGATAGAACCACACTTTGACATTTATCAAAGCAGTGTGATTAATAACTTACTAAGTTGATCATAGCTACAAATATGTTGAGTAATCCTTGAACCCATTATTACCATAACATGATTGTTTATATAACAATAATGAAAGTTTAACTTATGTTTTCTAGGTTTTTGATGTGTTGAGTTGCCTATGCACTAAAAAAAAAAAAAGATTAAAAGAAACGTGTTAAATCCTAAAGATTTTAAAACAAAATATTTTTATTTTTATTTTTTCTTCTAAAAAATACCTTTTAAAACCGCATGATTCTTTCCGTGTGTATCGAGCAGAAATAAATCACATTTAAGTCGACAAAGAGTTAACATAAGTCATCGAAGTAGTAACATATACATGATATAGTGTCTATCGAAATTTTAGCCAACGAAGGAATTTATAAAAGACCAGTCACATTTAATTTAAAAAAAATGAAAATGATAAGAGATTTATTGCAATCTACATAATCATTGAATTTGAATGAAGATTTCAATTATATATCAATGTTAACAAAGGAACATGACTTAAAGGTAAAAAAGAAAACGACAATTCGTCATCCAAAAAATTGAATTGTCATTTTTTTACCGACTAATGAGTTTGAAAATCACTTCGGTATCTTCAGCTTCTCCTTTGCTGTTGCACATAGTCAGCTTGGTTGATCTTACGATAGGTGATGATCTTATGCTGACATGAAAAAACGTTGGATCTGATACGGCCACTTTCTGCTAATTTAATGTTTGTTAAGTTTTGAGCTTTTCAAAAGACTGAGATGTCCTAACCCTAGGCGTAAATGCCGCAGCAGGATGTGGTACATCTATTTGGAATTTTATGTTTGTAATGCTCTTAAACTTGTTTTGATTATACAATTCTATTTATGAACTCGACTGATATATGTCTTATGAAGACAGAATGCGCGTCTGGCGTACCAAAAAATAATCTGTTTATATGAAAACATGATATATTATTCTACGCTTTAAAGCCGATTTTTGTAAGACTATTGATATGGAACCCCAACTCCACTAAAACCGTGGGTGACATCAGGTGCTTTGAAAGGGTATGTACAATTTGCTATAGATATGACATCCGTCATAAATGCTATTATAAATAGCAATGAAAATGTGATAAAATACCATAAACGAGCAATTAAAGCAATAAATCGTTGAACTATAGACAGCAATTACAAAATTAGAAAATTGACATTAAAAATATAATATAAAAAACAATAACCAATAAAAATTAGATACCGAATTGAACGCAAGAAGCAATAAAAAGAAGTATAAAACAACAAACAAAAGACTAGCCTAATGAAAAAAAATAAATAAAAAAAACCAAACAGTTCACCGAGGAGAGCTCAGACAATGATTTTAATAACAACAACAAAAAACAAAAAAACTTGTAAAAATGTGTTCCATCCGAAACTTTATTTTATCTACCTTCATTGGGAACTATCAAAATCAAAATTTTGAAAGCAAAGAACTTAAACTCATTAAAAAGCTATTGACCAAAAACCTTGGACGAACCTTAGCATTTTTATGGATTCTAAATTGACAAACAGCGAATCAAAAAAAGTATGTTATAAATTATTATTAAATGTTCATCACAGTCCGATGGAAAATTGGCTGACAATTAATTTGAATCACGACATGAACTGTTCTTAAACGGAGACATATCAAATTGATTTTCATTGAATGTTTTGTCCATAAATAGTGAAATGCGTGGTGTGCGGGATAGAACTCTTAATATTGAATTCATAAGAGAAGATTGGTTTCAAAGGAATAAAACTATCGCACTGGAACGCATAAAAGAAAAAAAAAGTAAGAAAATTTCGATGTTTTCACAACATTTGTTGGGAAGATGTATTCGTTTGAACAAGTAACCGTGTGTGTACTTGCATGATGTGATGAATTGTAACGTCAAGTTGAACTCGATGATAAGTTGAATTTAAACATTATTTCTTATATTCTATAACTTATCATAACCACTTTTTTGTCAGCTAATGTTCCTAGACACAGATAACAACGAGAAAACCTTGTATAAATGACCTAGATCAAAGAGTCTAGGCTATGTTTGCTGTTAATAAAACACAAGTTGAGTAAAATGTCATTTATTCAGAAATTAATTTAAAATGCAACTTACATCTTAACAATTATAATAGTACTGCATAAATGACAATGACTTTAATAAGCAAAGGTGGGGTTGAAAAAGTTCCACACCCTAACATAATAAACATCATAAAAATGACAAAAATAAAAGTGAGTTGAAAAAATTAACTCACCAACATATATATATACAAAGTATATAAACAATACAATGAATATTGTCCTTAATTGATGTTTAAAGAAAAATAAATGTCCTATATAATAACGCTTAAAAGGGAGGGAAATGGGAGGGTTTTCAGATAAAATTCAAAAACGATCTTTTCTCTCTCCCAAAACAAAGGCGAATGACCGCATGTCCGAGCACATGTAGAAATTTGATATTAATTACCGATCTCAAGAACTGACCAATCAGATAATGTTATTAGATGATCATGCATTGAACATGCAGTCCTTGACCTCATGTTGATATACTCAAACAAAGAAATGCCTTCTTACACACATGGTATTAATAAAATCAATATTATCGGAAATTCCAGCCAAAAAGTCTTTTATCTACAATAAATGTTATTTTATCAGCTAATGTTCCTAGACACAGATAACAACGAGAAAACCTTGTATAAATGACCTAGATCAAAGAGTCTGAGCTATGTTTGCTGTTAATAAAAAACAAGTTGAGTAAAATGTCATTTATTCAGAAATAAATTTAAAATGCAACTTACATCTTAACAATTATAATAGTACTGCATAAATGACAATGACTTTAATAAGCAAAGGTGGGGTTGAAAAAGTGCCACAAATCCCAAGAGGGATCCCCACCCGAGGACTCTGTATTCAACTTAAGGAACTCCAGAACTAGAAAAATTGAGCAAGCCATGTTGACCTCAACAAAAACACCCAAAATGGAATAAAATATACACCTTTTAACTTTTGCATTTCAAGTAAAAGTGTAGAGCAAACCATGTTGACCTCTACAAAAATATAAACACAGATTATAAACAAAACAAAAAATAATATATACTAAATATAATGAAACTTATAAATGAAAGGTAAAGCAAGTCATGTTGACCTCTACCAACCAAATAAATACCATTACATATATAGTAAATGACTGATGGCAAAAACTTAAATTTGCAGTGCAAACCATGTTGACCTCTACAAAAGTAAATAATTCTAACATGTAAAAAACAGTCTTGTTAATCCTTACAAAAAATGAATCACAATAAGGTAAAGCAAGCCATGTTGACCTCTACCAAAGCACTTAGTAAGCGACTGTGATTATATCAAATCTAAGTGTGAAAATTATCAAGTCGAATATAATGTTGAAAAGCGTTTGACTTCCATCTACCCATGTTTTGGATCAAGGCTAAAGGCACACCTCTGGCAGCTGCAGATGTCGCAGCTCCAATTCTGAAACTGTGACCTTTATAAAAATTTGTGTCTAAACCTACGAAATTAAGCAAACTTTTTAATGAAGAATTGAAATAAAAACCTGAAACAGGTTTTCCACATTTAAATCGAAATAAAGGGCCAAGTGGACAATTATGTAACCTTAGGTATTCCTCAATAGCTTTAACAGGACATAGATAATTTTCAGGACGTCTAGCTATTGATAATGTCTTACTTTGCAGATTACTATGTTTGTAGAACTTCATAGTAATTGTCATATTGCTCACATGACCATTTACTCTTTCAAACTTTATATCTTCCCTTTGAATTACTCTATAGAATTCAGACTCAGTTTTAACTGCAATTTCTCCAATACGTAAGAAACAAAAATAAGCTGTAGACATCATAGCCTTTAACAAAACTTGATTATAAATGTCAACTATTACTTTTGGTAAAGCCTTAACTAATTTTACAAGAATATCATAGGTTATTGGCAGCCGTGTATCAACAGAATGTCTCAACTGTTTTGTACCTTTTAACATTTTTTTAATAAAAAATGTGTCTGTTGGATCCTGTAAGAACTTAATTTTATGTATAAAACTGATGGCTGATATGTATGACGCAATTGTAGAGGGTTGATAATTTTGAATAAACAAATGTGAAATAAAATGAGCAACCATGACATGAGTAGATGGAAGTACAATAACTCCTGGAAAAATTTTCTGACAAAAATTTGAATACACACTTAGCATTCTATTATATGATGACACAGTAGCATCAGATAATGATGCACTAACAAGCTTATCAGTCATAGATGCAAAAATTGAGGTGGAATGGCCACAGGAGTTGGACTTAACCAAGGAGCAATCTGATGAGCTTCCTGAAATGAAAAACGAGACAACAAGTCACAAATAACGTTTGTTTTTCCAGGAATATGTTTGGCTCTAAAATAGATATTGTACTTTAATGCAGCTAGCACTAATCTTCGAATCAATTTCATAATATTCTTTTCGCGAGATGATATTTTATTTATAATTTCAGCAACAGCTGAATTATCTGTTAAAAACAGTATTTTATGATTTGCCAATAGAGGGCCCCATATATCAATAGCTAACACAATCGGGAAAAGTTCTTTCACTGTAATGTGTAAATCGACTAACTCCGGTGGCCATTCACCTGAAAACCATTTGCTGCCAAAAACTGCAGCAAAACCACCATATGTACCTGCAGCATCAGAAAAAAGTTTTAAAAAATCTGATGAAACCCATTCTTTAAATAAAAAACAAGATTTACCATTGTAATTTTCAATAAAATTGTACCATAACTTCAGATTTAATCTTGCATCAGAATTAAGATCGATTCTATAATGAGGAGATGTATGGCCTATAGTCAGGTCAAAAAGCCTACGTAAAAAGGCTCTTCCAGGTATGATAACTCCGCATGCAAAATTTAAAAGACCCAATAAGGATTGCAATTCTCTAAGTGAGATACTGCGTTTAAATTTGTATTTACTCAATAATTGCAAAATTTTTTCAATTTTTTCCATAGGTAAACGAGCTACCATCTGAGTAGAATCAATTTCAATACCGTAGATAATAATGCAAGTAGTAGGGAGTTGTGTTTTGATTGATCAATATCTGTTTTGGACAATAGACAATTTGATCCATAAGATTGGACTAAATCTATAACTGTTTCAATGTTTTGGTATTGTACAGCCGAAAATTCTGGGGAAATACCAGAGTTTACAGAGTCACCCTTAGGATACGACAAATCATGTATTAATCGATAAGAATTGGGTTCCTTTTTTGGAACTAAACCCAAAGGGGAGCATACAAAGAGAGGGAAAGGGGGCTTTGTAAAAGGACCCTTAACTCTACCTGCTTCAATCTCTTTATTCAGTTTTGATTGCACAACATGATAATTTTCCCTTGCACTTTTATGATTTGGAGGAAAAATCTGTTTATTTAGGGATGTAGAAAAACAAGAATTAATTGAAAATCCAAAAGAAAAACCATGAATCAATTTATCTTTCAACTGTTTCATAACCTGCTAAAAAGTGTTTTAAATTTTCAACCTTTATTGGTGTTGGAAGTTTTGACAAAGTTTGCTTGTTTTCCTTTTTGCTCTGGATATGTAAGGGTACAGTGTTTCTTGCTGCAGTGTTCACATTGGTGTTTAAGTTTACAAAACTTTGATGTAAATTGCATATAATTTAGCGGCTTGGAAACCCAAGGACTTGCATAATGACCGTACATTAAAACCATATTTTATCAATGCTTTAGCAGACCTCAAATTCTTTTCAAGATATATAGACATAAATATATCAAAAGCATTTGTCCATTGGTGAATGGACAAAAGCTCTTTGTTATGTTTCCTATTTGAAATCGTAATATTTAAATTTTCAAATAATGTTGATTCATTACATGTATTATCAATATTAGAAGGTAACAATAGAGCAAAATTTACATAATTATCACACCAAACATCAGATTTAACCTTATTGCTGACATGGTAATCTAAAGGTATAGTATGTCTCAACATTTCACATGCATATGGATTTTCTTCATTTGAGTTTAGCAGCTCACCATCAGAAGGAGTGTTGATATTAGGATCTGTGGAAACTGGTGGTTGAAAGACAGCTAACATTGGTCCCTGGGAGTCAGAAGTTGAAGAATTTTCTGGTTGTATAGATGATGACGACAATATACCAGTTAAGTCATTAATTGGAACTGCTGTATTGTCTTTGACAAGTTGAACGCCAGAACTTTGAAACTTCAGGAACAAAGCATCAGCAATGTCATTTGCGGTTGGAACAGACGACTGTTTAGTATTTGTTTCACAAACTGACAGATTTTCAGGAGCTGTTTGTCTGGCCTTGCGTCTCCGCACTGGTGGCCTGTATATTGGTGTTAACTCCTGACTTTGTTCCTCCACTAAATCGTGAACATCCTCTACCAGGTTTTGTGGAACAGCCTTTCTTCTTGTTCTGCTTTTCTGCTTTGGCATTTTGCTATAAATACATAAAACAAAAAATAAAAAAAGAAGTCCTGTATTATCACAAAATTTAAAGAATGTTACTATATAAGTAAAATTTTTAAACCAAAGTGCTTGTCCGGCAAATTAAACATAGTTGATATGATGATATATCAAGCAAAATATACTCATGTTTAAAATTAAGTTTGATTATGATATGCTAATTAATACTCCAAAACCAATTTTTAAAACCAACCAATATGTATAAAGTACTTCAATTGTACCAAAATCGATCCCTATTGTGACACAACCATTATAGGGAAAGACGTGATTTATTCTCTGATTAAATAAACTAATAATACACTAGTTGAAAAAATTAACTCACCAACATATATATATATACAAAGTATATAAACAATACAATGAATATTGTCCTTAATTGATGTTTAAAGAAAAATAAATGTCCTATATAATAGCGCTTAAAAGGGAGGGAAATGGGAGGGTTTTCAGATAAAATTCAAAAACGATCTTTTCTCTCTCCCAAAACAAAGGCGAATGACCGCATGTCCGAGCACATGTAGAAATTTGATATTAATTACCGATCTCAAGAACTGACCAATCAGATAATGTAATTAGATGATCATGCATTGAAGATGCAGTCCTTGACCTCATGTTGATATACTTAAACAAAGAAATGCCTTCTTACACACATGGCATTAATAAAATCAATATTATCGGAAATTCCAGCCAAAAAGTCTTTTATTTACAATAAATGTTAATTTATGTCAGTACTCAAAAACAGCTATAAACCAACTCGTGAAAATAATTATTCCGGAATTATCCACTCCTGTAACAAATAGTATAAAAAAAGAATGATTTATTCCTCTTGTGCCACCAAACAGTAAATACTAAATAATGTTTTGTTCGGTCACACGTCGAAATCTTTATACATTTTTCGATAAATTTTGATTAAAGGAAATGTACCATATTCTAATAAGTCATTTTTGACACTATCATTGCAACAACCACTTTTTGTCGTTCTCCGAAAATTGTCTCGTCGCTGCTCAGGTTTAAAAAGTCAGTCTTGATAAGAAATATCTGAATTTAACAAAGAAAAAAGATCACAAATGGAAATAGTTTAACTTGTGCTAAAATTGACGTTTCTCTCATTTATCAGATTTATACGGAAGGTTTAAATTGCAAAATATTTACACCAAACTAAAATGAATATATCAATCAATGTTAACGATGCGCTTGACAATAAAGCCACAGTTTCTTCAACAAGCTACCATCAAATCTTTATTTTCATATGGCATTCTTTAAAATTTATTTTCTAATTTCGTGCATTTCAATAATTCTAATATTCTTTCCTTCGAAATTAATTTATCTCTTCATATTATTCGCTGAAGCTGTTGGTTCATTCATGTTTCACCATTATCATATCATGGCTCAAATAAGTTTCACATTTATGGTACCAATTTTACTTCACCAGATGTGCACTATGATGAGTTGATAAAACCGAATATGCTTAAAAGACTTAACATCATGTGATTTGAACATTGGTGTAACACTAAACAAACATTAAAACCTTATTGTCTTTAAATGTTTTTGGTGTACGAAGTACCCGATGATGATTATTGGAAAACTAGTATTATTTGCTAATAAACCGTTACCATACCATTGTCCATCTGATAATTTATTACACTATTATTGCACGGACCCTTTTTCGTTCTTCAGTTATTATTGCTTCGCTTTTGAACTTGGGCTACTGTGGATTCATTTATTTTAAATGGTCAAAAAGTTCGTGGATTGACAAAAAATTGAATTTTCGTAGATATTTGATTTCGTGGTTCTCATGTTACCACGATATCCACGGTATACAACGGGAAAAAATCCACAGTAATACTTGTAGACAATTGATTTTAATTGTGCAATTACGCAAACCATTGGCACTTTCGCTGGACCAATTAGCTGTCCACATTGTACCCACGGATGGTTTTTGAAACTTGTGCCATGTGTTCATGAATATGTATCACACTACTGAATGTCATTGCACCTTTTGATTAATTTGAATTTGAAGTAAGAATCACAACGCGAACTAATGTCTCTCTAACTGATACTGATTTTCCCTTTGCATCTCATTGTAATGTTACCTTAATCCAATACGGGCGTCATTTTTGAAGTTAGTACATCAACATATCAATTGTACTCGAACAGACAGGAGACGGCAAACAAATTCTTTCTTGTTTAATTATAAGAAACTTTGGCATCTTAAAGCACTGAAGCCACTTCAGAAAACTGAAGTAAATTGAAAACATGGTTTAAGCGTATGGTCAAAGACATTTTAGTTATCTCTATCTGTTTCTTGTTAATTCTACTGTTCGGTGCCTCGCTTGAATCCCAAATAACTTGTCTAAAAAAGTGATAGATAAGAAGAACTGAATATAGCCTCAATTTATGAATAGAGTAAATTTACTTATTATAGTTATACTGTCTAATGACTTCATCATATTATATGATGTATTGTTTTCTGTATTCGAATAAGATTCATATTAAAATATTGGTATCCAGATTATAAGATTTATTTAAAAACAATTTCGTCCACTCCACCCAATACAGAACGAACTTTCATCAATCTATAAACATGTTAAATCTTCTTTAATTTAGTTTTAATATGACTAGTTTTTCAAGAGCAGAATCAAAACACAGATTAGTATGGCACCCTCAACGGAGTTGGGGTGACATACTGTTATTCTACGTTTCTTTTTATGGCACCCTCAACGGAGTTAGGGTGACATATTGTTATTGTTCGTTTCTTTTTTTCTTATTATTATATTTATTCTTCCACATTTTTTTGTCCATGCTATTTCTCAGAATTGGCTTGAACAATATTGATGGAACTATTCCATAATGTAGACCACTATATAAAATTGTGCAATCGGGGTATGGCATCATCAAGATGGCTGTCGTTGCCATGGAAACTGAAATAATTGTTGTTATTGTTGTTGTATTATGTACAATTACTTGATAGCTGCTGTATCGAGGGATATTTCCATTAGATAATTCAAGACAATTACTATTTCTTTACGCCCCGACCTATAGACGAAATATTCAAAGCAAACCACAACTATACAAGCTGTGGCGTCTGATTAATCGTCATTCGTGTTTTGTAAATCTCTATTATTGAAGTTACTAAACGTCAAAGCTAAAAACACTTGAAGTTCGAGAAATGGTTTGCTTCCGATGAACTATTGTCCCTAGGTAAAAAAAGGCATTGAATCCATTGACTTTATTGATAATTTTACAAAATCACTAGATAAATGTTTTGTGTCATATGAAAATATTATTATTTTTGGTGACCTTAATTTTGATATGTTGTCTGCTGAAAAATCTCAGACTTTACATGATATATGTGATATTTTCAACTTATCACAACTGGTTAAAGGTCCAACATGTTTTAAAAAGGGTTGTAACCCATCCCTTGTGGATGTTATTATTACAAGTAAAAAGAATTTGTGTTTTAAAACAACAAATAGTCCAAATGGTGTTAGTGACTGTCACAATATTATTTCTACAGTTGTGAAAGGGAATTTACCTGCACAAAAATGCAAGGACGTAACATATAGAAGTTACAAAACTTTTGATATTGACAAATTTACAAATGATTTACAGAAAATAAAGATTTCAGAAAACTGTACTGAGAAAGATTTAAATAGTATTTATGATGATTATGAAAAAGATTTTAAAAATATATTAAATAAACATGCACCTGTCAAATCTAGGTGTCAAAGAAGAAAACCACTGCCATGTATGAATAAAGAACTGAGAGGGGCCATATATAGAAAACAAATGCTTTATTCACAATATACTAAAAACCGGAGTGACAAAAATTGGGAGAAATTTAGAAAACAAAGAAATTTGGTAACTAAGATAAAGAGAAAATCAATAAAAGTATACTTTTTAGAACGTTGCTCTGGTGGGTCAAAATCATGCGAGTTTTGGAAAACAGTCAAACCATTTTTCTCAAAAAAGGGGAACTGTGGAGAACAAAAAATCTTATTGTGTGAAAATGACAAAATTGTAAATAGTCCAAATGAAGTTTCAAATGTTTTTAATATTTTTTTCTCCACAGTAGCAGACAAAATTGGAGCAGATGTGGTATATGACCCCTCAAATCACCCAAGTATAAAAGAAATTTTGAGTAACAGAAAGCATGTCTCTGACTTTGAATTTAAGAAAGTATCTAACGAAAATGTCAATAAAATCTTGAATAAAATAAACATAAAGAAGGCTACAGGAGCTGATGGTATTCCGGCAAAAATAGTAAAAAATTGTAAATCTTATATTGCACCACAGCTGACAACTCTTGTAAATTTATCAATTGAAAATAACTGTTTCCCTGACAAACTTAAAGAAGCCCAAGTGACCCCCCTTCATAAAAAGAGTGACCCATTATTAAAAACAAACTATAGACCAGTTAGTGTCTTACCCATATTTTCTAAAATCTTTGAAAAAATATATGAAATTCAACTAACTGAATACTTTGATAAAATATTTAATCCTTTTTTGTGTGCTTTTAGACGTGGACATGGATGTCAGACCACACTTCTCAGAGTGTTAGAAGATTGGCGTGAAGCTCTCGATAAAAACCAGTACATTGCAGCGGTATTAATGGATCTTTCTAAGGCTTTTGACTGCCTGCCTCACAATATCTTGCTAGATAAATTATCAGCATATGGTGTATCCCCCCATGCAGTTGCTCTTTTAAAGTCCTATTTATCTAATCGTAAACAACAAATTAAAGTCAACAATGTTCTGAGTGATTTGGCTGACATCCATAAAGGCGTACCACAGGGTTCTATACTAGGGCCATTGTTGTTTAACATATTTATAAATGATATTTTTCTTTTTGTTAAAAATGGTAGTTTATATAACTATGCAGATGACAATACTTTGTCTTTCTGTACTCCAGATTTTGATTTATTAATTTCAACTTTAGAATCTGAGTCAAAAATACTTATTGAGTGGTTCCGGGTGAATAAAATGCAAGCAAATCCCGATAAGTTTCAAGTTTTGGCTGTTGGCAAAAAGACCTTTGAACAAAACCCATCTATACGTATTCAAAACTCGAACCTTACATGTGAAAAAACAGTTAAATTATTAGGCATTGAAATTGACTATCAGTTAAATTTTGATGTTCATATCAGCTCAATCTGTAGGAGGGCATCACAGCAATTAAATGTTTTAAAACGTTTGGGCTCAGTTTTGGATAGACTTAGTAAACTTACTATTTTTCATACCTTTATTCTTAGTAATTTTAATTTTTGTCCTTTGGCATGGCATTTTTGCACTGAGAAAAATTCCAAAAAATTAGAAAAGGTGCAGGAAAGAGCACTCCGTTTTGTATATGAGGATTTTACCAGCCCCTACGAGGACCTCTTACTTAAAGCTAAGGTGCCCTCCTTGCAGATTAGACGGATTAGAACAATGGCTCTAGAAACTTTTAAGATTATAAATAATATAGCTCCTGTGTGCTTACAAAATTTGGTGAGTGTCAAAAAATCTAAGTATTCTTTCCGGTATGTAAATATTCTAGATGTTCCACAGGTAAAGTCAACCCGTTACGGTAAAAAATCTTTCAAATTTGCTGCTGCTACTTTATGGAACAGCCTTCCAAACCATTTCAGGACTGAAAATAGTTTTTCACATTTTAAAAGTCTTGTTCAGTCCTGGAATGGTTTGGAATGTCGATGTTCTGCTTGCAGATAATTCTTGA